GCCAGGCTCTTGGGCTGGCTGAAGCCGCGGCCGCAGCGCGGGCACACAAAGGGCTTGAGGCCGCTGTGCGAGCGCCGGTGCTTGGCCAGGCTCTTGCTCTGCGTGAAGCTGCGGCCGCAGTCGGGGCAGGCGTAGGGCTTCTCGCCCGTGTGGATGCGCTGGTGCTGCATGAGGTTGGAGCTCCAGCTGAATCGCTTGCCGCACTCGGAGCAGGCGTAGGGCTTCTCGCCCGTGTGGATGCGCCGGTGCTGCACCAGGTGCGAGCTCTGCGAGAAGGTCTTGCCGCAGTCGCTGCAGGCGTTGGGCCGCTCGCCGGTGTGCGTGCGCTGGTGCCGCGTCAGCTTCGACCAGTGGCTGAAGCTCTTGCCGCACTCGTTGCAAATGTAGGGGGCAGGTGGCCGCGGCCGGGGAGGGGGTCCTGCTGGGGGCGCGGACTGGGGTGGGGACAGCTTGGTCGGGGGCCAACTGGGGACGTCGTCATCATCCATGATCAGGATGTCCACTAGAAGGCAAGAGGGGGAGGAGGATGAGTCACGTGCTGATGGTGCCGTCAGGGCCAGCTCCCCTGTGCACACTGTGGTGGCCTCGGGCAGCTCGCTCACCTGTGCACCTTTCCAGGCTCCCGGCCAACCCTGCAAGGCTGTGGACTGACCCCAGAGGGCAAAAGGCAGCTGCGCAGTCGGGAGCACTGTCCCAGGCGCTGACCGGCCCTGGCCTTGCACCCAGTATCTGTGCTCACTACCCTCTGCCCATCCGGACGGGGCTCTGAGGGACAGGCTTTTCTGCCCACTGATCACCCCACCTCTAGGACAATGCCCAGAACACAGCGGCTCCTCCATAAGGTCTGTCACGTACAGATGTGGGAGGCTGCGCACTAGTGAGTCTGTCAAGGTAAAAAACTCGCTGGTGCGCAGCCTCCCACAACAAAGCCTGCCATAAAAACGCAGGTGAGGGTACCCAGCTGGGGAGCCAGAAAGCAAGGACACCTGAAAGCCAGGCAGGGCAGTGAGCAGCAGCAGCCAGAAGGTGCTCACGTCAGGCGGTGACTGAGTATCAGGGAACTGAGCAGAGAAAGTGTCCCGGGCCAGCGGCCGGCTCCACGTGCACACCCCCCGTGGTGCACACCACCCCCATGTGCACACCACCCCCACGTGCACACCTCCATACAGGCACACCTCTTATGTGCACACCACCCCCACGTGCACACCCCCCACAGTGCACACCCCCCACCCCACAGTGCACACCACCCCGCAGTGCACACCTTTCCGAAGTGCACCCCTCTCCCACAGTGCACACCACCCCACAGTGCACACCTTTCCGAAGTGCACCCCTCTCCCACAGTGCACACCACCCCACAGTGCACACCTTTCCGAAGTGCACCCCTCTCCCACAGTGCACACCACCCCACAGTGCACACCACCCCGCAGTGCACACCTTTCCGAAGTGCACCCCTCTCCCACAGTGCACACCACCCCACAGTGCACACCTTTCCGAAGTGCACCCCTCTCCCACAGGCACACTGCTGACGCGTGGCCCTGGGGGACGTGACCCCAGGATCCCTGGTCCTGGGGCATGGGCCCTGGTTCCCATCTCTGCAAACTGTAGCCTGTCATACGCTGGCACCAGGCCTGCCCCTAGGAGGTCTCAGGGAACGGTGAGCACCAGCCACCTCCCCAATTCATCCAGCTCTCTAAACTGACCTGCGCTCGCCTCACACACACCTGCTCTCCTCGTGGGGCTCACCAGCGCTCCAGTATGACAAGGGACTGCCCACTGGCCCGCCTGGCAGACCCCAGGTACTACGGCAGGCTTCCCTCAGAGCATGGTCACAGTGCACTTTGGTGGACAGCTGCTCCCTCACCTTCTGGCCGCTGCTGCTCACTGCCCTGCCTGGCTTTCAGTTGTCCTTGCTTTCTGGCTCCCCAGCTGGGTACCCTCCGTCCCTACGGCCAGTCGGGCGCCCAGCACACTCCACCACAGCACCGGCTTCCCCAGCCACGCCCCGGGGGGGGGCGTGCCCCGGTTTTTAGGCCTCGGGGGGGGCTGTGCCCAGGCGGTGCAGCCAAGTCCACAGGGCAGGCACGGGTCCCCCAAGCATCTCAGCAGCGCCCCGCGCGCAGACCCGGTGCGGCTCTGCACTGTGGTGCTCTCCTCCCGGGCGGCTGGCCCCCTTCCGTCATGAGCACGTCGGTGCCCGTGGTCTATTCTGGGGGAGCAGGGCACATGCTCACACCTCCTCATGCACCACTTCCAGCACAACGGACAGCTCCCCGCCACCCCAGCCCGGGCGTCTGGACGCTCCACTACCAGCTCTGCCCAGGGGGCCCTGGACACCAGGTCAGCACGGCTGCACAGGGGACCTCGCCTCAACCTCTCCTCCAGTTCCAGGGCTCCCAGGCGCCCTCTGGCACAGACGGTCCCATCTGCTGTCCCTTGTAGGTTACCACATCTGCCAAGACACCCACAGGTCTTTTACCACCGGGTCTCAGCAGCCTGCCCCCGCGCCCACCGGAGCAGACGCACTCAGGTCTGTGGCCCACTCTCAACACCAAGGCTTTCACTGCAGGGACGTTTTCCTGAGCCGTACTTTCCACTGCGCTCTGTGCCTTCGCTCTGGAGTGCTCGCTCAGGACTCTGGGATTTCCTTGGCCAAACGTGTTTTTTACTGTTTCGATCTTTCTTCATTTCTTTTTCATTTAAAAAATGGCCCCCCTGCACCCTCAGGTCTTCCTGGGGAGCATCATTTCTGAGCATCTACTTCGGTTTCCTTTTCAGGATGAGGCTTGTTCTGAGCGGCTGCAAGCTCGGTGCTGGGCTCAGCTCCCACGACGCGCTCTTTTCTGCAGCACTATTCTGGACAGCGAGGACCCCGGCAGAGCAGCCCTGGCCTGCTCGTCATGGAGAGGCCACTGCTTGCTGCTTCCTGGTTACAGCATATCTGGGGCTGTTGCCCACGGCTTGCCCTTGGTGCAAGTCTTCCTGGACCGCGAGGCCACTGTGCTCAGCCAGCTCCTCGACGTGGGGTCCATGCATGGCAGCGAGCTCTGCACGACTGCTCACCCAGGGTCCCGGCTCTGCCCACTGCCCCGTGTTCACTCCACCCTCGTCCTTCCTTCTTGCTGCTATCAGCACAGGGACCCTGCTCAGTTTCCGCATTTCCTGAGCAGGGTCCTACCCTGCAGGGCCTCTCCAGGTTGGTTCAAGGAACTTGGGGCCTAAGGCCCAGGCTGCACCTGCCCCACAGCCCTCCCCACCAGCCTCTTGCTCCTGTGCACTTGTCCACCCACTCTGTGTCGGTCCACGAGCTAGCAGGGCACTGCAAGGCCAAAGTGCTTTTCCTCTCTGCCCTCCCAGGCCAGGACCGCAGGCCCAGGTCAGGCGCGATGTTGGCTACAGTGCTCGCCTCCCACACAGCCAATCATAGTCCGAGCTATGGACCTGGTGGCTTCAAAGTCATGCTGGGCGCGTGTGCATGCATGCCCAAAATCCCGAAAGGAGGGTGGAGAAGGGATTGTACGCAGCACGGCCATCCCGGCAGGGGTGACTTCTCACCTGCCTTATTGCTGTCTCTGGCAAGCACATGAACCCCAACCTTAAAAAAAATAATAATAAAAGCGAACGCCCAGCTTTCTCTGCAGTCGGCACTCGCCTTCAGGCTCCCATGCGCCCTGCCCCGTCTGATCCCCCGACCACCCTAGGCCCGTGTCTCCGTCTCCATCACTTCCTGGGCCCATACCCTGGTCTGCCAGCCCTCGTCTAGAGACCTCTGGGCCAGGGAGAGCTGAGGCCAGGAGTCAGAGCAGCGTCCAGGACTCTGGCCTCAGGGCTGTGGAGACGAGGCTGTGGAGGGGCGCCGTCAACAAGACGGGTCGGAGGCAGGGTCAGAGAGGACCCCAGACCCCATGACACAGCCTCTCCCTTGGCGCCAGGCCCGAGAGGGGAGCCAGAGCTGGGGGCGTCGCAGGACTAGAGAGTAGGGAAGAGAAGGGCTCCATGTGGAGGCGAAGGAAGCTAGGTCAAGTGGGAGGGCAGCAGGGTCGGCTGACACCCAGCCGAGGCCCTCACCTGGGTTCTCATGGCTGGCCATCTGCTGGTCCTCGGAATCCAGCGGCCCCGGAGACCAGGCCTCTTCCCGCAGCTCCATGACTGGGTCCCTGTCGGAAGGCGGACAGAAGGACAGCAATTATAGGACACCAGGCTAGACCGAGGGCCCAGCACAGGCCCAGCAGACAGGAGGTGGGTGGCACAGATGGGGACGACGTGGGGGTCAGGAGCTCAGCTCGAGGGAAGCCCACAGCCACTTACCAGCTGGGCCCAGCCAGTGCGAGGCCCCGCCTCCAAGCCTCGGCGCCATCAGCAAGGACGACGACAGTGCCATGAAGCGCGAACGAGACAAGGCACACGTGACACGACTGTCGCGAGGGGCCCTGAAGTGTCTGTGGCAGAAAACTGACCCATCGCAGGAGGGGTGACGGGCCTACGCAAGGGCCCTGTGTGCCAGGCTCCACTGGACCTCCATGCTCCACACGGCGTCACCAACCGGTCTGAGCAAACACGCCAGGCGGCCAGGGGTTCAGGCTTCACCGTCCTCTCAGAACACGGCTGAGCCACACCCGACTGCCCAACTCTGGGCCTGCGCTCAGTGGCCAGGCAACCCGACCCGGAGCTGAGGCAAGAGGAGG